GTCTTTGCGGTCTACAATGACAGAGAAGAGACTGTCAAGTTTGGCTGTACTCAGCATTGAATCAAAACGCACTAAAGTTGTTGATCTTAATACGTTTGTGAGGCGTTTTGCTGAACAACATGGTAATCGCCGCATTCAGCTGTTATATGCATGCCAACTTGATGCTCTGCTCACGGATGACTCGATGAGCATACAAAACGGTTAAGATGATGACCTTACGTGTGTAAATATATTTTGTCTTTGTGTGGGTCTGCCCCCAAAAAACAGTTTTAAGTCCTGAGAAAGTCAAATAAGACGGTGTGTAAAACTACACTGCCCAGCCAAAAAAAAGTAACCACTTTGATTTAACTAGGCCAGTAGGTAAGTGCATTCCACTGGATAATAATACCCCTGCATTATAGCAACAACAGCAATAATAATTGGGAGGGGGGGCGCGGCTGTTCTTATGTTCTCTGAGAGGAGGCTCACCTTCCCACACTTTGAAAACCCCTGGGTTAGAGCAAAATACTTTTCTATTGCCACTTTAACTTAACCAAGGAATTATTAAAATGTACAACGATAATTAATAGCATGTACGAGCACCACACATCCCATATTTTACATTGGTTGTAATTTGTACAAGGTATAAGCGTGATACTATGATACTAGGTTTACTACATCATAGTATCACGCCAGTATCACGCTTATCCCCTGGCTTTATACTAAGCCAGGGGATAGGGTTATTATTCATAATAACCCTATCCCCTGGCTTTATACTAAGCCAGGGGATAGGGTTATTATTCATAATAACCCTCAGAATTTCTCTGATGGAAGTTATAAATAAAAAGTATATTTTCTCAGATTAAAGTGGTACATCTTAAAAGAAAAAAACACAATTCATGAGAAAATATCGTGATAAAATCTGAGATTATAAAGTTAATACATTTTGTGGAAAAAAATCTGAAATGCTCTGAGGAAAAAAGTTGTTTTAATAGAAAACAATTATGTAGATGTGTGTTTTTTAATGGCTTCACTCTGCAAGATCAGATACACCTCCTCACAGCATACAAGCCGTAATACGCCATCTAAGATTTGTTGGTGTTACCCCTGCAGTGTAAACGAAGCATGTGTGCAGAAATATGTGAGCGCATGCATGTGTCACAGTGGTGATCTGTGACTATTTATACCTTATCCTGTCACACGCTGACAAAGCCAAGGCATGCATCGGCCTTTCAACATATGACAATACTGCGTGGACAGAGGCGCAGACACAGAGAGACTGCAGTTAAAGGTGTATGGTCGAAAGTGTGTGTGCCTGTAAGTGATAATGCAACCATTTGACAGCAGATAGAGTGGCAACTGGTGATGACAATACAGAGAGAGGGAATGGAGATAAGATTCACACATTTTCACATTAGCTTGCATAACTTGCATGGCACAAATCTTCTTATTATATCCCACACAATTGAAAGACTGAACTCTACACGGTTTAGCTTTGTTGTTTCTGGTGTCTGTCATCTAGCATTGTGAATATGAGGTTAAATAAAGGCCTCTGTGTTCCATGTCAATAGCTCTGATAGAGGAGCGAGAGAATATACATAAGAAATACTCTGTGTGGTGTTTCTTTCAGTATATTTAAGACTTCAAGGTTGGTGGTGTAAATTACAATTTCATTTTCCTCAGCAACGAATCACTTCCAATATGGCAACCTTATCAGGAACAGCGCAACTTTAGGGAAAGTACCCCGACTTTATATAACATTACATAGTATATAAAACTTTGAATGTAAAAGAAAAACCATATTAGCTTTACAAAGAAACTTAAAGTTCACTTGTGACCAAATTAGCTTTTTGTTGGGGATTTGCAGGGGAATAAATATAGCAGTGTTGACAGAACAGAACTCCAGTTGGTATTGGTGTTTGACAGAAATGGAGGATCAGATCGATGCAACAGAGTGAGAAACAAGATCAGGTAATCTGGTTCTGTCTCAATGATCCTACATGGATGTGTGGAGAATAGAGGTTGGTTGTAGGTCAATTAAAAAGATTGTAAATGTTTTATTGCTAAATCCAGGTAGTATGAACAGCTGTTAAAATGCAACTTAAATTGTAATAGTTTAACCTTAATGTCCTCAGTTATTGATACATACTTAGTTAAAGTGATTCATTGTCAGTTAAAGGTCATCTTGAGAACACACACTGAACAATGTAGGTTATCAGTGGACACACACACACACCCACCCACACCCACACACAAATGGTGACAGATGCCTCTCTGTTATGGTGGTATTTGGAATGTTTGTCCATAAACAGTAAAACTAAAGGTCTTACAACAGGTTAGCTTACATAGCAGAAGGTGACATCAGTCAGTCAGCAGATAAGAGAGAGCTTCACTTAGGTCTGAAAAGATCTTATGGGAACCACATTTTAAAAATTGACTTATTTTAAAAGTACTATTTAGAAACTTTCTCGGGGTGATTTGTTTACCTAGACGTTTTACAAGTTATAGGCCTTTTTCTCGAGACTTAACCCAACTATCTCCTTATTGTCTCACATTTTGTCAGGGAAATACCAAATGAAGCCAATCATACTTTAAACTGATAAATGAAGGTTTCGTATTCAGTAATAGAGAACATGAAGAATCCTACAGCAGAATCTGACAGGCAACCTATCATGAGTGAACCGAGGTGTAGCTGAGCAGCTGAGTCAACACGTTGCTCCATACCGCCTCAACGAAAAGACCAGGCAGAATGCTCTCCTGCTGTGTGTGTGTCTGTGTGAGTGTGTGTTAGAGTGTGTGTGTCTATTGTCTCTAGCTGCTCGTAATCAGGTGTCACAACATGCAGAAGACTGCAGTCAAGAGCAGAAAAATACCAGTTGTCATGTTACATTATTCAGTGATCATTTAATTAGATTGTAATATAAAGTAGAGAATGTCTTAGTGAGCTGCTGTGTTTGATAAGTGATATTGTATTTGGTATGTTGGGGTGTTTTCAAAACCATGAACCATGTTTGAGTTCCTGGTGAAGTTTCCCCTGTAAAGATCAGCATAGGTTTTTAAGTACAAATGGGGGGGGGGGGTAATTTACTCCACATATTTTAATGAAAGTTAGAGTATAGTTGGTGTTACTTTGTGCCATGTATTACCACTGCATAAAAGCAACAGGATTAATGGCAGCAACACCAAAAGACTGTTAGGGTCTGGTTCCTGACATGTAAGGAGTTCACCACCAGAGGGAAGCAACACATATTACAGTGATGATCATGTGGTCACAATAACATCACTGCTTCATCTGTCACTCTGTTTGGCTTCTCTTCCACATGGTGTTTCACATTACAGTTATAGTCTACTAAACATGTGCCCATGCAAAATTGTTAAAACAGCAACAGTCTAAAATCCTCTTGAAGCAGCACAGTTTTGGTGATAACAAGAAGGACTGCTCGGTACTGTTTATCTGTATTATTGTGTTGCACTGTTGGAGAAGCCTATGACCTAACATTTTCATCGACATAACTACTCTGTAGCTATGTTCGTATGACAAATAAAGAACCTTGAACCTTGGTACTAAAGATGAAAAAAAAAGTTAGACTTAGACTTGTTTGTCTTGTGTCGTGTGAAACCAAAAGTCTATTGAATTATAAATGTTTACTACTTAACTTAATAAAGTAACATATTACGTAATGCAATATTTTAACCCATACGCTTGTGTCTTTTTTAACCTGCCAATACACTGTAGTTTGAATTCACAGCATTCACCATGTGTATGCAACTGCAACCCAAAATACTTTAGTATACTTTAGCTGAATCACAGCTGGAGCACAGGGTCAATAGGCAACAAGAAGATGAGAACAAGCATAGAACAAAATAATATTTCAGTGATGTCATCATAAATACTTCAGAAAACATGAAAGGCAGAGTAGAGGACACAAACATCATCAACTTTATGCAAAGACAATAACAACAAAGCGTGAAGACTTCCGCATTCAAATATATGAAAACACTCATCGTCACAGCCAGTTGTATTAACTTACTAAATCCCAAATCAGTTTTATTGACTAATTTGACAAACTAAAGTGCAACAAGTTCTGACAACAACAGAAAATTGTGTTTTTTGTGTTTGGTATGAATATCAGTTGTTTTATTTCTCTCTGTTATCTGTAAAGTGAGTGCTTCCCTCAAGCGGACAGTATGTGAAAGAGCAGCTGACTAACCTGCACAGCTGGGACCCTCATCTGTAAGAATTTTACATTTCATATTTTGTTGGAATAGAGCTGTAAAGAATGTGTACCAGCACAAAGAGCAGCTATACAGACAATCACTCACGTATAATCAACACTTTCAAAAGGTGTCTGTGAAACCTAACTGCTGCGTAAAGCTGCTTAACATGCAGAGACACTTAATATTTCATGTTTCTTATTTTGACACTTAATATTTCATTATTCTGCCTATTTTATCAGTGGAAGATAAATTGAAAGATAAGATTACTTTGTTTATTAATGTGGATTTTATCCAACAATAATGTGTAATAAAAATATTCATGGAGAAAAGACTGCTCATCAAATATCTACAGTTTGACTATTCACTCTACACACACATTCTTTAGACACAATACAAAATGTTTTAATATGATTTAAACGGTAGGTATTGTAAAGGCAGTGCACAGACCTTAAAAAAAAGTATGTGTTTAAAGTGCTTGTGTATAATGCATGCAAGGTCCAATTTAAGAGGACATAACAAGAAAGTGAAGTTATCAGGGGAAAAACTAGATCCAAAATGTCACCATCATCTCCAGACTTGGGATAATTCATGCGTTCACTACACTTAGATTGCTTAAAGGTTAGGAAAGATGTCCCTTTACTGTACATGAAAAAGCAATGGCTTCATCTATTCCTTTGTTACTATTGTGTTCATATCATCTTCTGGTTGACTTCCCCCTGAAAGCACAAAGACATCACAGATTACTAAATAATTAGCAGTTTGCAATCAATGCATTCAGCAGTGACTTTGGGCAGTGTACTTACTGAACCACGTCTGGAGGGTCTCAGATCTCCGCAGCATGAGGTACGACAAACCAAACACCAACAGGATGCCGAAGAAGCCCCCAATGACACAGCCAATGAGAATGAAGTAGCTGCGACCGTCATCTATAGAGTGAATTTATCACAGATTGATTTGGTGGAGAAAGACTAAATGCACAGAGCAACTTGTGCAGACATTATTAAAAGTAAGAAACTTTAAGCTTAAAAATGAAGAAATGTCCATTCAGAAAAACTATTCCATGATGCATTTCTAAAAACATTAACATAACCTGTCTGGATTGCTTACAAGTTGAGAGCATATCGGAAAACCTCAATAATAATTGTTACTTTTTGTATTTTTTCCATACAGAACAATAAATAATTTCCAACAACAACATGGACACAAGAGATTGTGAACCGGCTCTTACTTAACATGTACACACGTTGTCTTTGTGTTTAGAAATTCACCTAGCTATCTGATTGAAGGTGTATGAACTGTGTTTGCCAGAAGAGTGCCTCAGACCTTCTTTTATGATAAACCTGCTGAAATAATATAGATATCAAATTGCAATAGTAGTATATTCACCATAAACTTGCAGGACAGCAGCAGGTGCAGCAGGATTGTTTGGCTGCTGACACACAACTCTTGTGCCGTTGTCTGAGTAAGAGGTTCCCTTGAGCGTCCACACAGCCAATGACTCGCCTTTCTTCGAACCACAACTTCCATACAGAGCCTGATGAGAGAGACAGGGAGGAGGGTGGAGAGAAGTTCAGGGAAGAAAGAATTGAGATGCAAAACGATGTGAACGGCTAAATAGACTGTTGAGTGAACCCTTATGTTGCTTCTTACTGTGGCAGTATGATGGTGCTACTGAGGGGAATAAGTGGAGAAGAAAGTGAGGATAGGAGGAAGCATTAGATGAGGCCTCACCTGGGGGATATCTTCTACGTGGCCAGAGGGGCATGTGAGACTGTAGTTGCCGTGACTCCCATAGAAGGTGAAGGTGAAGGTCGGAGAAGCTCTGGGAACTCCACAGCTAAACACTGCAGGATCTCCCACAGCCACGGTGAGGTCCGCTGGGTGTGTGAGGTATCTGAGAGCTGCTGGGTTCGGTGCTGAAGTGGTGGTGGTGGTGGTGGGGGATTTGGGGGTGGAGTTTTCAGCTGAAACAGTTATTTAGAGTTGAAAATGGGTATGACAATGAGGAAAGTACAAAAAGTGCAGTCAGCTTTAAAGTACAATTAGTTTGGACTACTATATTCTAACTTCATCCACAGTTTTTTACGTCATCAAAAACGTGTTAAACCAGTTCAGTAACCAAACACTCTTACCTAGAAAAGTGCTCTCAAAACTCACAAACAGACAAGAGTTCAATAACTGCCCTTATGATGGCTGGGAAGACCAACAAAAACTTGATTTATTTATCTTGTCTCCTGCCTAACTTAAGTGGATCACAACATATCAGGTAATTAATATGCACATGCTCCAGATCTTTGTTATCTTTGTTGATCGATATACTTTGTTGTTTTTGGACAATGGTGATGATGGGCCTAACCCTAAC